AGTGGGATTTGTTCCCAAGCGTGTCCCCCCACCGAAGTTGAAGGATTTTTTGGGTGGTTCAGCGGCAGAGTCGAGCGAGGAAGACGAGGATACTGACGAGGCCGAGTAGGTGTCTTATCTCGGATCTTGTGTCACATGCCTGTCACGTCGCCGGCCTGGTGTCTCATTGGCTGATGTGGACATTTTTCCCATCTCTCCGCGGTTTCGTCGATATCTCCACCGTTTCTGGCCCTTTTTATTCAGTTTTTTTTGTATTGTATGCAGACGGACAATGTCTCGTAGCTAAAACACTATTCATCGCTGTGCGTGGACTTTTTTTCGAGTGCAAACGGTTTTCCATTTTGGGTGTATCGTTAGCCAGTGGATGACTGTACGATGCAGGAGATTGAAAGGTATCGATATGAATGCCTTCGGTATTTACTGTCTATACATATTCTACATGATCTATTAAAAGAAGGCCACTGAAAAAGTACAAGGAAACGCTTAAATATGCAATGCCATACCCCCGGTCAACGGAAACGGCCATTTCACTTTTCGAGCACAAGTTTGCAGTGCTTCGATAAACGCCGGGACCTGTCCCATTTGTACCCCAGAATAGCAACCTGGCTCCCGCAGATTCCTCTCGACGATCTGCTGTTGAATCTGCATCGAGATATTAAGGGTGATCGACCAGCAAACCTGCGGCACTTGTCAGTACATGAACGCAAACAAATGCCAATTGCGCCTTCGAGTAAGGCGACACGGCGGGGCGTGGATGCAGTACTCACCGAGACAATGGGGTCCAGCTGCCCGCAGTCGTCCGGCGAGAGAGCGTCGCTGATGCTAACAACCTCGGCAATCGCGTCGATGCACTTCCTCTGTGACTCAGGATGGCTCGACGCGAGGAGGTGATAGATGCTCGCGAGGGCCGTGCCGGGGACAAGCGTACACTGTTGCAGCATCACGTACCAGGGTCGGTTGCTCGGGGAGGGCGGAACGGCCAGAATGAGCTCGTTGAGGTCGGTGAGGTAAAGGTGTATTCGGCGTATGGTACTTGCGAATGGGGTCGGCACGGAGCGGTTAGAAGGCAGAGGAGGAGAGCCGAGAGAGAGTCCGTTGTTCATCACCATGCGGGCTTCTTGGAGAAGGGCGATGCTAGCCATTCGGAGGACAACTATGCTTGCTTCCTTCATCTGCGTCATGTAGTGTTGCTAGACATGTATGTAAGCCGCAAATATTGTTGAAGAAAAAGGAATAAAGTATAACGCACCATGAGGACGTCGAATTCCTGTCGAAGCTGCGGGCTGATGATGGTAGGAAGGCGCATTCGCAAGGCGCACACGCTGTCGATGTACAGAAGCTGGCAAAGCGCGTCTCTTCGTTCGTCATCTTCACCGTCGGCGACCAAGTCCCGGAACGGGCAGTCCTCACTTAGATAATGCCGTGCAGAGCCGCGACGGTATCCTTCTGGAGGAGGAACGATATGTAGGTCAAATTGACGCACGATGGTGTCAGCTCTCAGAAGCCATTCGCGGCCTGTAGCAAGATCAGGTCCCTTCATAAAGTGTACGGCCAAGAGGCAGTAGCACTGAATATGAGCGACGGCGTCTGAACGTGTCATTGGAGGCATGCTAAGCATCATAAGAGCACCGTTGAGGTGCGGTTCTTCATCAATGGGCGCCATGTGCGGGCGCCAACGATTCAGAATCCTCGCTCCGAAGACGTGGGCGACGTGGATCAACGCAGGATGCACGATACTGCAGGATGTATCGCACATGTATAAAGCCTGCCACTTTTCTCGTGTAGAGCTCTGACCCAGGACGATTCCGTTTTGTAAAAAGGCCTGGCGTCTAATTGTGTACCCGTTAGTTGTGTTTGAACAAGAAGGAAAAAAATCTTACAGATCTAGGTAGTCCTCCTGAGACTCTAGCGATTTGGGTAGGCATGAGATCTGGGGAGACATAGGTGCTGACAAGGAATTCTGGGGCGAAAAAGCGACTAGGGTAGGAGAACTAGGAGCTATCACGATATTAGAACCAGACACGTCTTATCGTACAAAGAAGTTCGGTACCTGAGGTTGCTGGCGTACAATCTGGTGCCGGCAGCGGCCAGTCGAATATCGTCGACGATTCCCCAACAATTGAAGCAGACGCAGACCAAATGGACTCTGGTGAACCTGGGTAACAATTGATTTAGCGCCTTACAAGGAGATAAGAATACCATACTCCGCACCTGCGTTCGTCGTCGAATCCATCTCACCGGGGATTGGTACCGCTCCCGACCATTGTTGATAAGGTAACGAGCCACTAGGCCAGCAAACAGCCCCTAAAAGTCTCTCGAGCTCGCGGTTTCGCTCGACCAATGTCGTCAGCAGATTAGGCGCCGAGTTGTCGTTGTAGACACATCCATCTTCTTTCTTGGCAACAACGCATGTTCGACAAACAGGGCGCTCCCCATTGCATTTCTAATACAGATATCGGTTAGCTTGCATTCGATGGAGAGAGAGACATTCCAATAGCTACCTTCTTCTTTCTCCTATGATGACGAAGGGGGATTAGATTATCTATCACGTCAATGCCACCGGAGACAATAACGAGATGATAAGCACCTGCAAGGCATGCATGCATCCCCTCGAGGTAGAAGATCTGAGGGAGAGTGAGGCTGTCGTGTAATGTTATAGTCGCATGGTGAGGTTGACTGGCGTCTGCTCGCGCAGGGGGTACACATCGGTGTTTGACCGTCACATTTCTAAAGAGCTATTGATCAACAGCTGCAGCTGGACAATACACCAGACACGCACCACTTTCCGTTTCTTGCATGTCGCGCACGTTGGGGCCATGATTTCGAGGGTTTCACGAAGTCGAACTATGGAGACTGGAGTACTAGAATAGCCCTTAAATACTTTGGAGATTCACGGTACCGGTAAAATGACGACAAGCATCTGCCCAAGAACTTCTCTTGGCAAACGGCGATTGATGCAACAAGAGTAGTCTGTGGGAGCCGGTAAACACTTTTCTAGGTGTCTTACCCGCTTTCAGCGGCTGCTGCAAGCTGGGTGTAATGGAATCAAAAACAAGCGATTTGCGCACAGCTCTTTGATCAGATTCGCCAGATGTCACTGGTCGGTCCGGTTCGGCAACTTCCGCGTTCCCAATTGTGGTGAAAAACGATTGACATTCGGTCCAACTTTACCCCCTTTCCTTTCTTCCTTATACCCTTCGGGCTCGAAAAGTATTAGAATCGTGAATAAAGTGTCTGATTGGGATTTAGGGTCTCCCATCCTCGCAATTGATATCCGTGCGGACCACAGCACCGATATAGTCGTCGATGGTGGTTGGCCCATCGATGTTTCCTGCAACGAAATCCGATTGAATGTGCTCAGCGTTGTGCTTTCGAAAAAGCACCCATGCTGAAGATATTTACTCACCCCACGCGTAAATTGTTATCAGTGGTGGAGGTGGAGAACGGATCATCGTCCAAATGGACTTGACTGCGACATTTCAACGGTCCTCTGTCGTTGGTTACAATTCTGACACTGCAACTCCGACCCTTCATTTGATGGAAGAGGAGTTGAACAAGAGCTTCTTCGAAGTCACAAGAAACTGAGCTCAACTCCCTTTGCTCGCAATGCCTTTCGTCCAGCCGCGTCTAGACCTTCGTAATCCTTGGATCAATTACGGGACCAAGAACGCACTCTTCAGATGTTTTGACAGACAAGTTGACAATATCCATGCGGAGCAGTGATACATTATTCTCAAGAGGTGTGGAACGCCGTCACCGTACATCTGATTAACAGGCATTTCGTCAGAATATGTTATCGACGATTGGCCCAATCATTACGTTAATCAAGGGCACGATACTCTCGATAGTCGTCGGGGATGCCCAGCTTTGCTATGGGAGTCTAACAATCAATGCTCGTGCCTTTCCTCCGCGTACATCGCGGTCCCTGGGGTGCCACACACGTCGCTTGATACAGTTACATAACAGCTCAACCAGTCCCTTTCAGAAGTTCTATAAATACGACAGATATCTGCAAAACTAAAATTGTAGTGTGAACGGTGCTGTATCTCCCTGGAGATGAGTTTGAGGAGTATCAAGGAGTTATACACCCACACTAAACATTTCTGCTGATTTTGTTTCTGGTCACTACTAGCAGACAAAACTTGATGCATGATATGCTGCTGTACCTAAGAAGGTGTAGTTAATTTTTTCTGAATGTGCGGAGAGGCGTTCGTTCTATTGGGTACTCGTAAGCCGTAAGCCGACTCCCGCTGACCTAAACGTCCGAGCCCATTTTCCATCTTGGGAAGGCAGCGCAAGCGCCAACATCCGGCGCCTGCAAGCCTTTACCGGGTTCTCTTCCACCTCTAGCATACTAGCATAACAAACACTGATGAGGTTGATAATCCACCATAGCTGAGCAAGAAGACTACTCGCCGAGGGTCAGTTTAAACATCAGGTCATAGAGAAGCGTAATGTTTATCGGGCGAAACATGATGATTCTGACACTTAGGCTCTATAGGTCAGTGAGAGAGCAGCGCAGACCATATGAATGTGTCTCATATTCAATTCCTGCTTGTAGTTCATTGATAACTTAGCGTGACATGCCCTCCCATTTCCCCCTGAGTCGAGGATGAAGCGTAACCATCAGGTGACACAGAGGAGAGCTACTTAACTCAGACTGCTACCCCTGCCGTAAATCCCTGCGCGAAAAATGCCAGAACCCCATTCCAGCTTATTCTATTTTACAACTGCACCCACTAACAGCTTTGAGCCTAGTAGGCCCCCTATATGACACAAGTTCAAGGAGTCCGTTCTCTCGTGGACATAATATAAAACAGCATACCCAATCTAGATTGCAGGGGATTTTGAACCTTGAGACGGTCTTAGTAAGGCCTGAGCCATAATAAAATAAAATCGGGTACTGAAACGGTGCGCACTCCCGGTTGAGTTATGCGCAAGTCGTTCGGCAGCCGTCAGTAACTCAGGAATGTGCAACCGGTCGTACACTTTGCTGATTTCCTCCACGCACAGAGGGACCATGATTTCCTGTGACATCATCCCGTCCTTTCTCTGGCCGGCGGCATCGATGCATAAATATGCTTCTCCCCGATTGATTGACTCTAGGCAAGAACATGATATGATATTACACCGCTTGGACAGATCTGAAGATCTGCGGGACCAGGCAAAAGAAACAAAGATAAAAACTCTAACTACTGAGGTCCAAGTAAAAATCTACGTTGCCCCTTGTATAGTTCCCCATCACCCTCAAGAACATCCTCGGCTTCCGATTCGTCCATATCATCCACGAAAGGGATGGCTCAAGAGCATCGTGATATGGCATTCCCATCAATCTTCGCGTCCTAGATGAGATCATATGTCGGGTTTTTGTGCACCTTTCGGACGAGTATCCGTCTTCATCCAGTAAAGCGGCGGGATAACCAGAAATGGGCATGTAGACCCCAGGTACCCACTCCCGGAGAATTGATTGTACAAGCCTAGATAAGCGAGATGACAAGGCCAACGAAGGCAGACTTAGGCAGTCGAGGGTAGTCATGGCTCGGCGACCGTACCGCGGAACGTGAGTGGTTCCATAAAGCAGGGTCACTTGTTTAAATATAGACTTCTGCAAGGGGCAACGGCGAGTATTCTCGAAGTTTTCTTCTCCCCACAAGTATTAGCTTTGTCAAGACCGAAAGTCAGATTCCATGGTATTCGACATGGAATCAATGCACTTACGCAATTTCACCGCAGCCAACCGATCCTCGAATGGTGCCATTCAATACCCTGGTCCAACTTCGCGATCGATACTCCCTCGTCTGTCTCAGCTTCACCATGAGTTCCCAGAGACTCCATGAATTTTGATGCCCTGATAAGGTCATAACCGAAATGTCGCAAGCGAGCGCTCGAAAATCTCTGAATATGGTAGGCGCAGTCTCCTCGTTGATCTTCGCTCTGTTAAACACCATTCGCACACGGTGGTGGATACGGCACCAACGTGGGACTGGACCAACGCCGTTTGTGTTGGTTTAAACAAGGGCTCTATGCATGCGCGGGAAGGAGAACAAAGGGTGAGTCAGCCAGCCAAATGTTCAGAGATATTGAGGACAGGAATGCTGAAAAAAAGGAACCAAGTAAGAAACAAAGAAAGGGGTGCCACTGAAAGAGATTAGATAACGGAGACCGGAACCTAAAGGTTCCGGGGGATCACGTGAAGACAACCAATCAGCGTTGACGGATTGGACTTATATTGTCGACTATTCTGCGGAATAAGGTTAGTCTGGAGAACTACCACCATGATGCGCCGAAAGTTCTTTCTACATCTCAAGCCTCTTTCAAGGTCGTTCAGAACTTCAAGGATCTCCCGAAACGAGCCATTCAGCGCAGCATTCGTTGAACGAGCTGAAGATGAGGTTGATGTTTGCATTGTCGGCGCTGGGCCTGCTGGTTTGAGTGCTGCCATTCGCCTAAAGCAAATAGAACGCGAAAAGGGAAACGAGATTCGCGTCGTTGTGCTGGAGAAAGGATCGGAAGCAGGTACGTTCCGGCATTAATGTGTTCTCAAGTACTAACCAAGTCTTAGGTTCTCATATCGTATCTGGTGCCGTTCTGGAACCTCGAGCGTTGAACGAGTTACTTCCCGACTGGTCTTCTATGCCCGACCACCCACTAACACAACCCGCGACATCGTCTCGTATGCTGTTCTTCACCCCAAAGCTCTCACTGCCCTTCCCACACCCGCCACAAATGAACAACAAGGGGAACTACATCGTCTCGCTATCCCAATTCACGCGTTGGCTCGCCAGTGTCGCAGAGAACGAGTTCGGCGTGGAGATCTACCCAGGGTTCGCAGGTGCGCAGCTGCTGCTCAGCGACGAGGCCGAGTCGCTCGATCCGTGGGGGAACAAGGCTCGGAGTGTGCAGGGTGTGATCACGAACGAGGTCGGCCTGACGAAGAACTACCGGCTCAAGTCGTCGTTCGAGCCTGGGATGGCGTTCCGTGCCAAGGTCACGCTGCTCGCAGAGGGTGCGCACGGGTCGCTTTCGAAGCAAGCCATCAGCATGTACAACCTGCGAAAAGAGGCCCAACCACAAACGTACGGCATCGGACTGAAGGAGGTCTGGCGGGTCGACCCCGAGAAGCATCGGCCGGGTGAGGTTGTGCACACGCTGGGCTGGCCTTTGGATATGCACACGTACGGGGGCGGGTTTGTCTACCACATGGATGGCGGCCTCGTCAGTCTGGGGCTCGTCGTCGGGCTCGACTACAAGAATCCTTGGTTGTCTCCCTATCGGGAATTCCAGGTATAGCTTTTTCCTTCACCTTATCTCGGAGCTCCGGTTCACACCGTCGTTGTTTGAAGCGCATGAAACATCACCCGTACTTCCGCTCTCTCCTGTCATTTAACTCTGAACGACTCGCCTATGCTGCTCGTGTACTGACAGAGGGAGGCCTTCAATCTATCCCGAAGCTCAACTTCCCAGGCGGAGCACTGCTTGGCTGCTCGGCAGGCTTCATAAACATTGCGAAGATCAAGGGCACACATAACGCGATGAAGAGCGGTATGCTCGCGGCTGAGGAGGCTTACAAGGCTGTCCACCCCGAATCAGAGTCAGAGTCATCTTCAGGAGCTGCAGATATGTCGGGATACGATCGTGCACTGCACAACTCCTGGGTGCACTCGGATCTATACGAAGTGCGCAACCTGCGACCTTCGTTCCAAACGCCACTCGGTCTCTGGGGTGGTATCGCGTACTCTGGCATCGACTCTCTGTTCCTCAAGGGCCGCGTACCTTGGACATTCAAGCACCATTTACCTCCTAACCCCACGAACGGCTCTGTACGTCACTTGCGCGTCACTAACTGCGTTTACTTGATGTCACCTTGCAGGACAACATCCTATCCCTCGATTCGGCATCGACGGAGGCAGCAAGCAAGCACAAGCCCATCGACTACCCTCCCTTCGAGCCTCCGCTATCAACCGATCTGCTTACCAGTGTAGCGCTGACAGGGACAAACCATGCCGAGGACCAGCCTGTACATCTCCGCGTCGTCAAAACACGCACGTATCTCCATCAGGTCAACTCAAAGAATGGGAACCTCGCTGTCGGGGCTGGTTTTGGGGCCGTACAGTCCCAGGCGGAGGTGGAGGTAGAAGAGGACGCAGAGGAGGTTGCGGAGAGGAGGAAAGAGGAGGTCGGGCAGGAGAAGGAGCTCCGGAGGAAGCACGTGCAGGTCAACGTCGGCGAGTTCGCTGGGCTGCTTGGACGGGCGTGCCCTGCTGGTGTGTACGAGTACGTCCCAGAGGAGGGCGGTGCCGGCGTCGAGACTGAGGGGTGGAACGGGCACAAGCTGGTGATCAACTCGCAGGTAACGTCGCGACGCTCTCTTTGGATTGGTGCAGACCGGTGTTGACAACATCATGACTGCAGAATTGCATCCACTGCAAGCTTTGTGACATCAAAGTCCCAACGCAGGATATTACATGGACGGTACCTGAAGGTGGAGGTGGCCCTAAGTACAGTACGTTTTCTTCTCTCTTCGTCATTGCGTTCGTACGGAGGGCTGATCGTCCGACTTGCAGCTATTACCTAATGTCTAGTCTAGAAAACCAAAAGTATAATTGCTTTGCCTTCGCATGGACTTTCTGCGAAGTCTGAGGGAGAGTTGTGTCGTGATCGTGGTTCTTCTCAATGGTGGATGAAGCTCCAACGTGAGTCTTGGTTTTATCTGTGACTGCTATCTCAATGAGCGACCCCAAGTGGGAATAGCTTTTGAGCCGATCTTCAGCATCATCGAGCTCTGGGTTGAAATTTCGAGTAAACTTAAGTATAGCATCGACTCGTACAGCCTTCTGCTCTGTTGTGGTTTCGACGAGGCTGACAAGACCTTCGCCTGCAGGACATTCCCTGGCGCAGGAGAGAATTTTTTTTTGCGATGACTTGATTCCGCGAGGATTCTTCTGGTTCTACCAGTGAAATCCGAGATTACTCTAGCAGACCATGCTCCTATTCATCGTCCACGAGGACGCCCGTCCCAGGCTCCTGCAACAGCGGTTCCTAATGAACCTCTGTCATAAGTTACTACCTAGTTACCCAGTGTCTACTCTAAGAAGAAACAACAGCAATACTCCCTGGTCTTCATTGGGACCTCGCCGGTAACATCCTTCCATCCTTCCCTGGCGTCACTGCGCGAGACAACCGGAGGAATCGCGGTCTCGTTCAGTTGATAGCAGGGTTTCTGACTCCTGCTTGAAGAGCACTCGTGCAGCACGAAGAATTATGCAAAGCTTTGCACTCTGAAGAAAGCTTGTCCATGATGGACACCACGAGTGCTATGGGCGTGCTTCAAACATCTTCCTATATGGATCTGCTTGAAACTCCGGAATGGAGGGTGTTGTTTCGTGCTGCGGCTGGTAAGTGTCAGGTTTGAGCCGAAGACGAAAGGATTAATGAATGAACCGACCCGAGAAGCCGTAGTCCCAAACATCATATCGCTTTCTGGGGGGTATTCTGGGCGAATAAATATCCGTGCGTTGAGTCTACCAGACAGAATTTAGCTCGTTCTACGTTAACCATTAAAATTTGACCCACGATGCAAATAATGAATTCGAGAAGACTAAGGAGGGTCATCAGATGTTTTCTTGAAGTAATAAGCAGTTCTACTCACGTCGCGCCATGACCATGAATATCGCCAGCCAACTCACTGAGACGACGTCAGTTGCTATCTCGTCGAATTCTGCCTTGACCTACAATTAGTTGGCATTTCTAGGAACTAGAAAGAAAAGGTGAACTTTGAGTGCCGGACAACCTTGTCGAAGTCGAGGACTTACGCAAATCACTATAGTGATCCCAGCTACGCTCGTCACCAGACCCGTTTCTACCCATTCATGCAGTCAACCTCAATGCCTGCCCCAAGTGAATAGGCAACACATGCAACCATACCAATAGACCACATCATAACCTTCTGGATCTTCATTCTCGTCCTGACAACGAGAAGTTCAAATGAACACGGTATAGCCTCGAGCTCATGAAAAAATCGCTTGCTTACTCTCTCCCCGACTGGTCTCTCTTCTCCCTCAAATAATAGCACAAGGAAACTGCAACCAAGATATCCACCGCGGCGCCGATACATAGGAGAGTCGTCATGAGCCATTTCCATTCCGCCGTGAATTCCCAAATCGTCGTCAGACGATATGCCTTGATGCCGGTGACGAGGCTCATAGCGAACCTCACAAGAGAGAGCGTCCAACATATGAGCGGAATGAGCACCCTTCCACCGCTGACGACGCGAAGACGCTCTGCGAAGAACATCTACCGGGAGGTTAGGCCCTAGGAGTAGAACGAAGAACCTCGGATTGCCTTGCACTCACCTGAACCACTGGTGCTATCAGACCACTGAGTATCACTGCCAAGTAAAGGCTCCCTGGCGGGCGCAACATCGCATCTACGTTCCCAAAGTGGCTGACCGTCAAGAAATATAGGAAGTGGCAGATGCAGACACAGTGAGCTAGCTCGCACAGCCTCCATCCCCGTGAGTATTAGGCGAGGCATTTATTCCTTGTTATCGAGGCTCTCACCAGACAAAGGCCACCTATTTTGAGGACGATACATGAGCCAAACTACCCCACAGACGTCGGAACAAAGAACATACCAGGGCCTTCAACATGCGCCTGTCGCGCTGATATCTGGTATAGTAGAGGTATCCTTGGACAGTCGCCACGCCGAACAGGAAACACGAGACGATGGCGCCGACGTTCAGCGCCCCCAGCGTCCGGTGGACGTTGAACTCTGGCGTATCCATGACGCGCTGAGCACCGTTGACGGGCACGAGCTTGAAGGTCGCACTAGAATGTTGCTGATCAAGGAGCGGAGGGAAGGAGAAACTGTTCCCATAGCGGACTCGGAGGTTTATATCGTACGTCTACCGAGCCTAGCCAGGCTCGGCGGGATCCGCCCCTGCCCGCGTCAGAGCCACTGAGGCGCCAAGTGGGGACTCAGGGTGGATTTCTGCGACGCCGTGTGACCATGAGCCGGTTTCTCCAAGGAGAGCTTGCTGTTTTCGACATGGCTGACGACATACCGATTTGTGATTTTAGCACGCTGTTTTGCAAGCGCTTCTTCGGTGAAACTGCAATCACTAGGATGCGGGCGAGCGGTCATGACGGATCCTGTCCATCTCGCGGAGGAAGTCCGGAAGAAGTGTTTCAAGGGCTCTGGCACCGGCCAGGCAAACCTTCTAACCGATTCACTGCAGCGAAAACACGCCCAAGCTCTCAGTGCTCTCCACGAAGAACTTTCGCGGCCTTCATGGTTCTGGAAATAGTCCACGTCACTAAATTTAGCATTGAGCAGGGGGTGGTACCGAGTAAAAATACAGAACGCATACAAGTCTCGACATCTACATCGAATGGTATCATGGATCATGGTACAAGGCGAAACAGGACAAGCTACAGAGTTGAGTGGTTACTGAGAGGGATGGCGGCGTAGAGAAGCTGTAGATGGTGGCCCTGAAGTCAGAGGTGCGAGAGGTGGACGGGCGGAATGGATGCCGGGTCCATACTGCGACCCATAATGATTCTCAGCGAACTGTGGCGCGACATACCCGTCCATATATCGAGGATACGCTTGCCATTCGCCCGTCGGGGTTTGCGTGCGTGATTGAACAGGCGTAAAATAAAGCTCCTGGCGGGGGGCGTATGGCGTCTGGACTCGCGGTGCGTGGTACGGCGTCATCGTGGCAGTTTGGGTCGGGGCAAACGCCTCCCACATCTCTCCATCCCCAGGCGGCCCCTCTTCTCCTCCCTCCCAAGGCACTGGGTCGGCCGGGATGGGCTCGAAATACAGCGAAGGCGTCCGTTGCTTCCTCGGGGTGTTGTACATCAGCCCAGGGGGTCCCGACGGTGCTCGCAAACGAGAACGCCGGGACGATGGAGACGCCTCGGGGTGGGTGGAAGAAGGCGAGCTCAGGAACTCGGCCTCGAGGTCGAGGACTGCAGGTGTGCCTTGGTTGGGTGCCTTGAGTGCTGAATCCGAGCTGAACGAGGAGGCGTCCTCCGACGCGCGCGAATTCGCGAACGAGAGGTGGTAATTGACGCGGCTGTAATTGTGACTGTGCCACGAAATGAGAGGATGTCTCCTCTCCTCCTCCCGTCTCCGTTCGGGGTAGTAGTCGGCCGTCACCCGATCTTTTCCAATCCATGGAAGTGCCGACACATCGTGAATGAATTGGCGGATTCGGGTGAGATAGGTGTTCAACGAAATGTCGCTTCGGGGAGGCGTGGGGGGCTCCATCTGTGCGTAGTCCGACCCAAACTCCGGATCTAAAGAGACTGGGCTGCCCATCGCCTCTGGAGGAACGATGTCTGTAGGCATAACGGGGTCCATACGCTGATCTACTCTGGGCTGTTTGGGTTCGTAGTGACCAACAAGAGTCTCTGAAGGCGGTCTAGGTGACGTGGCTTGCCTCGGGGATGAACGAGGAGAATCGAGTTGGGCTGCTCGAGGTACATCCCGTTGACTGGACGAGGACGATGCATACCCAGAGTCGCGAATGACGCTGGGAATGCTGGGAACCCCGTACACGCCATGCTCATACCGAAGATCACTGGGCCGCTGGCTTTCCCTCAACGACTTGCGAACTGCTTGTTTGACCCCGGACACGAGCCTCTCGCTCCTCGTTTGCCTAGGTGCTTCCTCTAATTGTCTCTCAGCGTCCTGCAGAGCAGCTGGGCTTGCCACACCGAGATAAGGGGCGCCGGCATCGACATTGAAAGCAGCACTGTCGCCCCGATAAAGATTTTCGGGTGCTGGGCTTCTGGGATTCTGCTGTAGACCAGGATAGCTGATGTATGGTGTACCAGTGTTGCTCGGCTGTCTCGCAGGGGACTCGGAGAGCCAGCGTGGCGAGGGTACAAAGACGGAGTTGTGAGTGGACATCTGATAATCTCAGGAAGAAAGGAAGGGATCAGGCCTCAGGGTCCAGCTATTTGTCTCCATTTACATAAATTGTTTGTGAAAGACAAATACAGCCAGTGTTGTCTAGATGTGTGTATGTTGAGCTCGCACAGCCGACAAGAAACTCAAAAAATAGGCGTCCCTTTTGACTAACATGGACACGTCGATTTGTCCAAAGTGCGCATGAATTCTGGGCCAGCCGCCCGGGGTTCCTAGGAGTCTTCTTGATGCCTCCATTACCATCAAAATGGATGTGTGTATTTTCTTGTGAGGGCAAGATAGAGCTTTAAAAAATCGCCGTGGACCACTGCAGTGTTAATTGGCAGTGGAAACGGTATGGACAGATATGGCTCCCACGGTGAGCATCCGAAATCATTGCTCTCCAATTTGTTGACGGTGACGTTGACGATATAATCCCACTCCCACCTGCCTCAGAAGTGGTCAAACGTTGATTATGCTATGATCTCAAAATACACGAAAGGATTGCTGGGTGAGGACGAAGATACTCATAGGTCTGAGATGGCACCTCCTATCGGTCAAATAAGCGCCGGTGGGATCCGAGTGGGCGCTAAGCGTATATATGAAATCGTTTGTGCTCTACAAGCACCCGAAACATTTTTTTAAAGTAATATAGAGTAAATCTCCATTATTGGCATCTAATAACGCGACTGGGTACCCTGGCGATCGGGTAACCTTCACGATTAACACAGAACTTGGTCTAACGTGCCGAACACGTTGTTGACTAGTTCAACTTTCTCAGAATTTCTTGGTACGATCCGGCATTTAAAAGGGGCAAGCCTCCTGTTGAATAGAACAAATGGAACATAATGTTCAGAAAAATCACGCTACTATATGTATCACATACCGGATGTGCATGTCTTCGAAGACAACCGGCGGGACGAATTCGGTACCGTTTTCATCCACTGGAGGCAAGATATCGAAGACAGACAAGATATGAGCAATGGTGAGAAAGAGGAAGCTCAGGGAATAATGCGATCCAGGGCAGAATCTTAGGAAAAATCTCAGCTGAGGGGCCACGATGATCTTGGCGCGTCAACTTACCTTCTGCCCATCCCTATGAGGAATGCCATGGGTAATGGATCCAGTTCGGCCTTATCCCCTAACGCAGGATCAAATCTTCCAGGATTGAATATGTCGGGATCTCTATAGACCGACGGGTCATTCAGAATCCCCCTGACAATGGAGCTGTAACAGGCTTGAACTGGGCAAACTTGGCAAATGTCACTCACCATACATTCGCTGCTACGCATGCTCCTTTAGGTATGAGATATCCCTCATAGATGTCGTCCTCGTCCAAGCTGTGCGGAGCAATGTGGACCGTCACATTCCATCGCAGAAGCTCCTTGACCAGGCATACGATGTAAGGCAACGATGGGCGATCGTCTAGGGCGTGACCAACCACGGCATCCACTTCTTTCTGTGCTCGAAGCCGCACCTCAGGGTAGACCACCATCATCAAGAAGAAGGCCCGCAGAGTGGGGACGACCTGCTCGCGCTCCATAAACGAACTATTTGGTATTTTGGAACCACTGACTGTTTCAATTCCGGCTGGGTAGCACACGTCAGACAAGATAATGTGCTACAACATAGGCCAGGACCTACCGGTAGTCAACGTTGCAGCTGCGGTAATTAGGGTGTCTTCATCAAAAAGGTCCCTTGCGTTGTGTCCGTCTTGCTTCAACTGGTCACCGACGAAGCATGGAGGA